GTGGTCTCTTCCTCATTTGTCCTAGAGTTGCCAGGTATTGTCTCTTGTCCACGTGGCACAATAAGTTTTCCTTAGATTTGCTTGGCGCTGAGCTCCAGACTCCTGAGCAGATGCTTATCACTGAGCGTGCTAGAGCTGGGCTGGCGTCTATCCCAGGTTGGATGATCCTGGACTTCTATGGTGTTGGGCTGTGGCCCAGGCCGAATATGACGAATGCCATCTAGATGAGACGCTTAGATCGCCTTTGACGAGCTCATAGGAGGTTTTGGGCTTGAAAAGAGGTTCAGAGTTAAATCTATCATCATCACCCATAAAGAGATAATATTTTCTATTTTAGCCCATACCCACTCATTCTTCAATTACATCACATTGAACTTGATTTTTTGCCTCTCAAGAAAAGAAAAGTATGGGCATTAGTTGTTGTCAACAGAAGCACAAGGTCAGAAAAAGTATGGCCATTAGTCATTATCTGTAATATTGTAGGGTTATTTTTGGTATTATATCCAAAAATTACTACGAAATAAGAATAAAATTATAACTCAAGCTGATAAGCATATGACAAAATACGATTATTTGGGATAAATACTAGTGTTTTAGAATCAATACAAAGGTAACTTACTCTTTTGGTCTAATAATTTGACCAAAATTCAGTCCTAGCATTATCAAATTATTAACTTGTATGTTCATCTATACTTTGAAATAACTTCGATACAGTACCATATCTGTTATCGTAGTCGTCCCCAATCAAGCATTTTGCTCATAAGGGTTATGCAAATTTCAGACCCTTCTTTTCCTTTTTTTTTGATTTTGGTGTAACTGGCAAGCTGTTCAAGGTGGAGCCATACTGGACCCACTCATGCAAAACAAACTTTGGAAATCTACAATCACCTGCTACATTATGGATTATGGAATGGCCAAGTAGTGGATTGAGGGAAGTGTTTGTCAAATCACAAGGGCACAAAAGATAAATACAATAGATTCTCACTGGAGTGTGACAAGTCAGAAGAAGCCAACCTTTGAATGCTTTGATGTTTTTTTTTTCAATGGTTTAGCGTATTCGGATCAGTTTATGCAAACTTTGACTAATCTTCTTTCTAATTCGCTCAAAAACCTTCGATGTTGATTACTCCTTTGAAGATGCATTATATTGAATGTGCCTCAGTGCGTTTCTAGTTACAGAAGAAGAAGATCACGAGGAGGAGTGGTTCTCAGAACCCAAAGAGCTCGGAGTAGCACTATGTTATGGGGATAGCTTTATTGAGGCTCTCAATCACATATACTTTGGATTCCTACTAACAATGCAAACTTTGAGTTCACCTAATCATTTGCAACTTAAGCATGGCGGAGCCAGGATTATATATTAAAGACAGTAAAAACAAAAATGAAAAAAATAATTAATTAGTATCAAAAATTGTTTTAGGCCACCATTAATAAGGACTAAATTCACAAGTTCAAGTATGCAAAATATTTTAAGATCCAAGATGATTGCTTATTCATAGTTGGTAATATTCAAGACGACACCGATCGACTATGGTACCAAACTTAAAACCAACAATGAGGTTCAATTCAAGCAGTTACAATTGCTTAGACATTGATGATAGGTGTCAAAGCAGGCATAGTCGCAGCAACACCACTTAATGTTTCCATTGATATTATTTTCTCTGCAACCTTCCATATTTGATTCGTCCCCAACTACATCAGACCTCTTGTTGCTGCCATTGCCAACCTCTCCTGTTATTATGGCAGTGATATTATGTTCTCTTTCGTTGTTGCCAACCTTACCTGCAAATTCCAACAAATAGAAAGCTCATGAACATCACCACAGACTTTGTTTTTTTAGTTCCATAACCAGAGGCGTTCAGGCCAACTAATGCGCATCCTGACTAATTTGATATCGATATGAATGTGACTATATATATATATATAAGATTAATTTGAATGAATTTTGACAAGAAAAAACTTATACGACTTGAAAATATAAAACGACAATATCCATTGACAGCTCTAATCACATAGACTTACATTCGCGAACAGCCAAAAGGGTAAGAAATATGACACACCAGAGAGCCAAGTGAGCAGAGATGAAGTTTGAAGCCGCCATGGATGTCCGAGGGGAAGGGAATTGGTGTGAAATGATAGAGTGAATGTGAGGTTTTCATAGCTGTTCACTGTTTCTGGATTTGGCTGGGCAATAAATATTACAACTCATGACACAAAGCACTCGGATTTACAGATTCTGACTCGAGGCATAGTGCCCAAAGTATTAATTTCATAGATTCTGATAATGGAGCACATCTATACTATATTATACCATTGGGCATCCCATGTGATACACGAAATTTATAATTTATCATGCTCTGCTTGTTACTTCTCTCCCTTTCGGGTCTTCTTTCTTCTTTTTTTTTCCATCGCATTCACATAGATAGTTAAAAAATTATTAAAGTCTATACGGGATTGCAATAACATTTTTTTGAAAAAATTTAAATGAGGGGTGGTTAATTGGTGAGATAATAGAATGGTAGTTGTATTGGTCAAGTGTTGGTTGTTGATTAGAGAATATTTATTTTTTTAATTAATAAATAGAAATTCTAAAAATAAAGAAACGTGAGAGGAAAGACTTTTCAAACTCTTTCTTCTAAAAATTAATTGTTTTATATAGATAGATAGATAAATAGATAAGCAATCCTAAATATAAGGAAACTAATAGGGTAAAGTTGGCTGGTTTTATGGTTGATGAAAAGGTGGGGTATGGGGTAGTTTATTTGAATTGTTTAGATATTTATCTCACTAAGCACTTTAACACGGGCGTTATATATGAATAATTTTTGTATATAAAATATTAATAATTTTTTTTAAGTATATATGTATTTAATTTAAATATCAACTCAAGTTTATAAAAGTTATATTTTTATCGCTCATATGAAAAATAATTCATTTGATCAAATTTCAACTTATAATTTATTGAATAAAATAATAATATTTGTCAATATTCTAATTAATGCTTATTTTTTAAGAGTAACATAGTCAATTAAAAAGATTCATAGATACTTATATATAGACATAGAGAATGGAGAATTAAAAAAGATGTTAGGGTTAATTTGGAGATATAAACACATAAGGATATGATGGTAATTTTGATATTTAACTATAGAAGAATAATGTGGTATTTAAATTTTTTTATCAGAGTAAAATAATGAATCAAAAATTTTTCATGTTAAGATACTTTTATTAGTAGTATAAATAATGAGATTAATTGCCACGTATATTTATAAAAATATAAAAAATCCTAAATTTAAGAAAATGGAGTTTTAGACCTCACAAAACAAAGTNAACACAGACTTTGTTTTTTTAGTTCCATAACCAGAGGCGTTCAGGCCAACTAATGCGCATCCTGACTAATTCGATATCGATATGAATGTGACTATATATATATATAAGATTAATTTGAATGAATTTTGACAAGAAAAAACTTATATGACTTGAAAATATAAAACGACAATATCCATTGACAGCTCTAATCACATAGACTTACATTCGCGAACAGCCAAAAGGGTAAGAAATATGACACACCAGAGAGCCAAGTGAGCAGAGATGAAGTTTGAAGCCGCCATGGATGTCCGAGGGGAAGGGAATTGGTGTGAAATGATAGAGTGAATGTGAGGTTTTCATAGCTGTTCACTGTTTCTGGATTTGGCTGGGCAATAAATATTACAACTCATGACACAAAGCACTCGGATTTACAGATTCTGACTCGAGGCATAGTGCCCAAAGTATTAATTTCATAGATTCTGATAATGGAGCACATCTATACTATATTATACCATTGGGCATCCCATGTGATACACGAAATTTATAATTTATCATGCTCTGCTTGTTACTTCTCTCCCTTTCGGGTCTTCTTTCTTCTTTTTTTTTCCATCGCATTCACATAGATAGTTAAAAAATTATTAAAGTCTATACGGGATTGCAATAACATTTTTTTGAAAAAATTTAAATGAGGGGTGGTTAATTGGTGAGATAATAGAATGGTAGTTGTATTGGTCAAGTGTTGGTTGTTGATTAGAGAATATTTATTTTTTTAATTAATAAATAGAAATTCTAAAAATAAAGAAACGTGAGAGGAAAGACTTTTCAAACTCTTTCTTCTAAAAATTAATTGTTTTATATAGATAGATAGATAAATAGATAAGCAATCCTAAATATAAGGAAACTAATAGGGTAAAGTTGGCTGGTTTTATGGTTGATGAAAAGGTGGGGTATGGGGTAGTTTATTTGAATTGTTTAGATATTTATCTCACTAAGCACTTTAACACGGGCGTTATATATGAATAATTTTTGTATATAAAATATTAATAATTTTTTTTAAGTATATATGTATTTAATTTAAATATCAACTCAAGTTTATAAAAGTTATATTTTTATCGCTCATATGAAAAATAATTCATTTGATCAAATTTCAACTTATAATTTATTGAATAAAATAATAATATTTGTCAATATTCTAATTAATGCTTATTTTTTAAGAGTAACATAGTCAATTAAAAAGATTCATAGATACTTATATTTAGACATAGAGAATGGAGAATTAAAAAAGATGTTAGGGTTAATTTGGAGATATAAACACATAAGGATATGATGGTAATTTTGATATTTAACTATAGAAGAATAATGTGGTATTTAAATTTTTTTATCAGAGTAAAATAATGAATCAAAAATTTTTCATGTTAAGATACTTTTATTAGTAGTATAAATAATGAGATTAATTGCCACGTATATTTATAAAAATATAAAAAATCCTAAATTTAAGAAAATGGAGTTTTAGACCTCACAAAACAAAGTATATTTAAGTAAGATTGCAAACAAATTAGGTGAGAGAGCCTTCAGGAGACCTTCCCTTCCTATTCTCTCAATTTTTAAAATTTTGTTTCATTGTAATGCATACAATTTAATTATATTTTATTATGTGGCATAAGAACCACTCTTACATTAACTAATAACTCCTCATTTACATATTTTTAAAAAAATTACTTCCTAACCGCCATGTTTTTATAATTATTTGTCTAACTTCTTTTCTCCTTAAACGGTGAGATGAGAAAGAGAAAAAGATAATGAAGTAGGCAATGAAAAATAATATGATATAAATTCGTGCATTTTACAGAATATTCACTAGTTATCTACCTAAAAAAGAAAAAGAAAATGGGTTCAACCCATTTCGGCCTCTTTTTTCCACCGACAAGGATGAAACACGAGTGAAGTTGTTTTAATTTATTATTTTATTTTATTTCTATTCATGATTAGAATTCATTTTTGAAAGAAATTAACATTTTCAACTGCAGCGCCAGCTGTGGTTAAAGCAGTGTATGCGTGGCCATGGTCGTCTCGTAGGAATTGATTAGGACCACAGAGATATTCAGTTGAACAGTCCGATAAAATAGTGTTGGAGCCCTCCAATTATTTTCTTGTTACACGAGCTGGGAGGGTTGAATTGGCATGAGCCTTTCCAACCAGACAGTACTGGTCCAAGTCCAGTGTCCCTAAAGCTTTCATTCTCAGGCCAGATTCCACTGTCAGTCATTCCAATTATCACGTCGTCACCGAAATTGGCCTCTGGCCAGAGGCCATTGTTTTCATTGAGGCCAAGAAATGTGGGTGATCTAGTAGTGTGATACTTAGTTGTGACCATGTCTTTGAAAACAGCAGTCAGTCCTGCAAGATTCTTAAATTTATTGGCATCTTTGTAGGAAAACAAGAAACGGAGAAAAGGAAATGATAGGAGGAAAAAATATAACTTTATTTGTTGCTGAAAAAATTCTGAGTTGCGTACAACTTGCAGATTACATGACTCTTAAATAGACCAATTTGTAAATAAATTTTTCTACTTTTACTCTAACTATGTCTTACAAAATAGTAACTTGCTGACTTATAGATAACAACTTGCACACTAATAGTCAACATATGACTTATTCAACAAGAACTTAAATTGACAAAATCCAACGTAAAATACGTGTGAATTTAACCAAGTTTGGATTACATCCGACAAACACCCCCTTAATTCAAATTTGTGGCTGCACTCCCATCATGTCGCGAAACTTCTTGTACTTTTCATCAAGCAATACTTTTGTGAAAATGTCANAACAAACACCCCCTCATGTCGCGAAACTTCTTGTACTTTTCATCAAGCAATACTTTTGTGAAAATATCAGCTATTTGTTTTTCAGTGTTGCAAATGTTCTAACTGCACTTGTTTTGTTGCCACGACTTCACGAATGAAATGATGCCAAATTTCGATATGCTTAGTCCTTCCTTGANTAAATTTTTCTACTTTTACTCTAACTATGTTTTACAAAATAGTAACTTGTTGACTTATAGATAACAACTTGCACACTAATAGTCAACATATGACTTATTCAACAAGAACTTAAATTGACAAAATCCAACGTAAAATACGTGTGAATTTAACCAAGTTTGGATTACATCCGACAAACACCCCCTTAATTCAAATTTGTGGCTGCACTCCCATCATGTCGCGAAACTTCTTGTACTTTTCATCAAGCAATACTTTTGTGAAAATGTCAGCTATTTGTTTTTCAGTGTTGCAAATGTTCTAACTGCACTTGTTTTGTTGCCACGACTTCACGAATGAAATGATGCCAAATTTCGATATGCTTAGTCCTTCCTTGATGTACTAAATTTTTTGAAATTTCAATGGTTGACTTGTTTTCGCAAACCATCAGTGTGGCCTCCTCTTGCTTCTCTTTCAAATCACACAAGATTCTTCTTAGTCATATTGCTTAACAAGATGTTGTTGTGGTTGCAATGTACTCAGCTTCAGTGCTTGAAAGTATTGTAGTGAGCTGTTTCTTTGATGTCCATGAAATCACTCCCGAACCAAGACTAAATACATAGCCTATAGTGTGTTTTCTGTCATCGATACAACCTGCTCAATCACTATCAGAAAACGATATAAGTTTAAAGTTAGTGACTTGTGTATACTGTATCCCATAATCAAGTGTGCCTTGTATGTATCTCATGATCCTCTTTGCTGCCTCAAGATGATGCTTGCTTGGATTTNTTGTCATCGATACAACCTGCCCAATCACT